GAATCCCATCCTGCCCCCTCCCCCCCTTCCTGCTGCCCAAACAGCTACTGCATTGTGGGCAAGCCCACTCTTTCTTACTTGCACACACATACTCTTTCTCTCTAGCTTGCCAGAGCCCGTGCAGGGTGCACATGACCCCCAGCAGCCAATCAGCTTGCCTGCTGCTTCCAGCCAGCACAGGAGAGCAGAAAACTGGAATATTTGCTCTTATTTTAAAAACCCACCCAGACGCAGCATCGGGGCCAAAAAAGAGGAAATGTCTGGGGAAACCTGAACGTATGGTAACCCTAGCTTAGTCCACTGCAGGCACACAGCCACATAAAAAAATTAATTATTCAATTGTATGGAAATATGACCTACATAATTTCATATTGGGCATATCTACACCTGTCATTAATTTGCAGCAATAAACTGTGGAGCTTATTCCATACAATTGAATAATTCATTTTTTATGTGGCTGTATGCTGTGACTGCTGTGAAGTAGACATAATCTTAACGTTGGAGTTACGAAGTGGGAAAACTGCAATACCCTCCTAAGGGCTTTTCATCTCTAAAACTTACTGCTCTGCAGTTATTGTTCCCTGGAAGCTCTCGGTCAGGTGTTTTACACATGTGCCCAGATCATTGCACGTTGAGCCAAGTTGCAGCAGCCCTTGCTGGCAGGGAGCCCGGTGGGTCACCCTGCCAGCCCCGGGCTCCTCTGACTGGGCTCAGTGTGTTGTGGATAGTCCGGCTGGGGCACCCTGGCTGGGGTGTTTCAGTGTAGGGGCTGCCTGCTGGTTAGATACTGGGTCAGTATCTACACGTGCACTGCTGCCTTATTAGTTTTGTGCATCTTAATAGGGGCTCACGTGTAGATGTTGAGATATTTGCTGCACATTTAATTAGTCAACTGCTCAGTAAACGTATTTTGTAGATGCACTTGTGTTACAAGCTTCAGAATACTGTGAGACTGTGATAGACATGCATATCTTTATCAAATCTGTCTCTTTTATACTGACTGATAACTGATTGCTACAGGAACCAATTCCTGCCTTTTTTCAACAGAGGCACAACTGAGAAAAAAAAGACAAGTCTCTGTCTTTCCTGGCAGTGACCATATTCAGTGGTCATATGGGGCAATTCTCCAAAAATATTAGCATTTAGCATTTGTTCTAAGGCAGGTAGTCAAGTTTTAGTATGGTAACAACCTGTGAGCTAAAATCAACCTTTTTCTCAGTATAGATAGAAGATGATAATTTGTAGCCCAATTCCAGCTAATAGAATTGTAGCCTAGTCTAAAGTCAAATATACTCCCTTTGTAAAGTTGTTCTTGTGCGTTACAATTTGAATTCTATTTCAGTGTTTAGGGGGAGAGGGAAATAAAATGACTTGACAAAATTCAGGTAAAGAATAAAGATTTCTTTCATGATAGATAGCTTTTTAATAAACACGCTCTTAATGAAAGTGCATTGTAATGTGGGTAAAACAGAAGTATATATGCGTGAGAAAGTCACAGCAGACATTTTTGTATGTGATAATTCTGGTACAGCATATTGGTGGAGTAAGGCAAAGTGTGATCTTATCCATCTTTGGTGTTTCTCGTTTTATGACTGTAACCCTGCACTGTAACATTTTTGAAAGCTAAAACACGAATCTCTATGTGATCCTATCGGAACATGGATAGGCATGCCTAAAAGCAAATAAATGTCTCCTAGAAAAGTGAGAATGCTTTTATGGAGGAAATGAATGGAAAGGAATGCAGAGACAACAAGGGCATTTTAGAGATATAACACCTTGTCTTCTGTTTCATACAGCAGAACTGAAATGTTATTGAAGTGTCAGCCAATGGCAAACTTCCACAAAACTTGGCAGTTTTAGTGATTCACTGCTTGAGGTATCTAATTTCTGGAGTTTACCTCTTAGATAGTTTTTTTTGTCTATAAATATTTTCATTTCAGCACTTGATAAACTTTTGACTTCTGTCTTCAAGGTTGTTTTTGTTCTCTTTTTATAATTTTTTTATCTAATTTTTCTTTTCTTCTACTCCAAACTTTGTTGGTTACTTTTGGTAGATTACTTTTGGCTTTTTACTAGAGATGCTAGTGCTGGCTTGTTGCCTGTGCTCTTGCAGCAAGAGCACTGAAACATTAATGTTATAGATAGAAGGCCATGAAATATAAGAGGTGGAGTTTTTTGTTTTTGTTTCTTGGGGGTGGGGGTTGCAAAAATTTAGCTCATTTAGACATCAGTGCAAGTCACTCTTAACACCTATACAGTTTGTCCATGCTTGGATTTGGTATTGGTGTAACTGCACTGGTTCTTAAAACAGGGCAGATGAGGCCTAAAAGACAGAGAGGCTTTTAAAAAGGTAACAGCCCAGTTTTGTTGAACAGAAGCTAAGTTGTTGTAGGCGGCCAGAAATTCAATTAATTGAAACATCCACATTAGTATTAACCATTTTTTTTTTTTTGGAGAAGTTGGAGGTTGTGTCGTGAGAGAGGTGTGCTCTGTTGTGCAGAAGCAATTGAGAGCTCTTCTACCTTAACCTATGTATGTTGGAGGAGCAACAAAGTATCGGCATGCCTCTGCTCTCTGCTTTACTACCAAGTTCCACTGGCTCTTGCTGACCATTGAACAAGGATCATCCATTCAGGACCTTTCCCTGTTGTGATTGCTCCTTCACTTCTTCCTGCCATATTGACGGTTCAGCAACACAGCAGGGAAAGTAAAGCTCGAATAGTGTACATTAGGTGTGCATGACTATGTCATTTTGGTTGTAGAAACATTGCCATTTTAGTGCTGTTTTCATTTTAGGTATAACAAAATACAGCATCTGGAAAACATTTTTTAGTATACACGCATGGGTGGGTGTTGAGGGAGCTGGCAGGGGTCATTGCAGAGCCCTTGGCCTGGCTATATGAGCATTCATGGTCATCTGGCCAGGTGCCGGGGGATTGGAAACTGGCTAATGTGGTCCCAATTTTCAAGAAAGGGAGGAGGAAGGGCCTAGGTAACTATAGGCCTGTAAGCCTCACCTTGGTGCTCGGGAAGATCTTGGAGAGAATCATCAAGGAGCAAATCTGTGGATGGCCAGCAGGGGAGCTCATGCCCAGGGGCAACCAGCAT